TTTTCTATAAAAAAAAGTCTCGGATGGACTATTTTCTAAAGAAAATTATCTTGCGTTGAATATTTTCTAAAGAAAAAAGTCTTGCATTGAATATTTTCTAAAGAAAAAAGTCTTGCATTGGCTATTTTCTATAGAAAAAAGTATTGCATTGATTATTTTCTGAAGAAAAAAGGCTCGCTTTGATTATTTTCTATAGAAAAGAGTCTCGCATTGACTATTTCCTATATAAAAAGTCTCGAATTGAACATTTTTCTGAAGAAAATATTCTCTCATTGACTACTTTCTAAAGAAAAAAGTCTTGCATTGACGATTTTCTGAAGAAAAAAGTACTGCATTGACTATTTTCTAAAGAAAAAGGTTTAGCATTGACTATTTTCTAAAGAAAAAGGTTTAGCATTGACTATTTTCTAATGAATAAAGTCTCGCATTGGCTATTTTCTAACGAAAATAGTCTTGTATTGACTATGTTCTAACGCAAATAGACTTGCATTGTCTATTTTCTGTAGAAGAAAGCCTTGCATTGTCTTTTTTCCAAAGAAAAAAGTCGATTTTTCTATAAAAATAGTATTTTTTTTATAGAAAAATATCTCTTATTGTATATTTTCAAAAGAAAAATGTCTTGCATTGATTATATTCTGAAGAAAAAAGTTTTGCATTGACTATTTTCTAAAGAAAAAAGTACTGCATTGACTATTTTCTATAGAAAAAATTCTCGCATTGACTATTTTCTATAGAAAAAAGTCTCGCATTGACTATTATTCATAGAAAAATGTCTTGCATTGATTATTTTCTATAGAAAAGAGTCTCGCATTGACTATTTTCTATAGAAAAGTGTCTCGCATTGACTATTTTCTATACAAAAAAGTCTCACATTGACTACTTTATATAAAAAAATTGTCGCATTGACTATTTTTTGTAGAAAAAAGTCACGCATTGACTATTTTCTGTAGGAAAATGTCTTGCATTGACTATTTTCTGTAGAAAAAAGTCTTGCATTGACTATTTTCTATAGAAAAAAGTTTTGCATTGACTATTTTCTATAGAAAAAATTCTTGCATTGACTATTTTCTATAGAAAAAAGTCTTGCATTGACTATTTTCTATAGAAAAAAGTCTTGCATTGACTATTTTCTATAGAAAAAAGTCTTGCATTGAAAATTTTCTATAGAAAATAGTCTCGTATTGACTGTTTTTTATAGAAAAAAGCCTCGCATTGTGTATTTTCTAAAGAAAAAAGACTCGCATTGAGTATTCTGTATAGAAAAACGGTTCGCATTGAGTACTTTTTTAAGAAAGAAATCTCTCATTGAGTATTCTCTATAGAAAGAAGATTCGCATTGACTATTTTTTATAGAAAAAAATCTCACATTGACCAATTTCTATAGAAAATAGTCTCGTATTAACTATTATCTATAGAAAAAGTATATTTTTTTCCTTAAATAAAATGTTTCTATCTTTTTCAATTTCTCTAAGAAAAGTGTATGTACAACATGTTTGTGACAACCAGAGCACTATTTGTTTTGCTACTTTTATTGTTTGTTTTCTAAATAAAAAAACAAAAAATTTCTAATTTAAATTTCTATTACTATGTTAGAAAGAAGAATAGAGAGAGAGTGAAGAAGGGAGAGTATACATTGCTCTAGTAATATTTGTTTAATGCTGAATAGCGAATACAACAGCAGCCTGATAAATGTAAATTCTAGTCAACAACAACAGCAAAAAGTTTTCAACCAATCCACATACCCAGTATGCGTGTGTATAGCTGTTTATGGGTTTTCTATATAGAAATTGTTTTGGTAAAACAATGTGTCAAGTGTGATAAGAATTTTCTGTATTTGACACAAACCGTGACAAACGGAAACTGTATACAAATACCTACATACACAAACAAAACTCACATACATACATATAAACTGGCCTAGAATTTATTTCTACATTTTTGTGTCTCTGTTTGTATTGTGTATGTGTGTTTAATTTAACAGGTATTTTAGTTTTTATTGCAATTTATACTGTGTTTTATGTATTGAAAATTTAATTAAACATTTCTTAATTAAAAAAAAAAAAATTCAATACAAATATATTTATTGCATTAAAAGTGACAAAAAGGAGACAATTTGCTTTGTGACGGCAGGACCAACAATTGAAACTAGAGTGTCAATATTTGTTTTTAAACATTTAAAGGATGATATAAATAAATATTTAAGAAAGTTATGAATAAAAGTTTAATATCAATTATTTTATTAAAAACAAGTCTCGCATTGACTTTTTTCTTAAAAAATAAGTGTTGCATTGACCATTTGCTGCTGAAAAAAGTCTTGCATTGACTATTTTCATTAGAAAAAAGTCTTGCATTGACTATTTTCTAAGGAAAAAAATCGTGCATTAACTATTTTCTATAGAAAAAAGTCTAGCATTGACTATTTTCTATAGAAAAAGGTCTTGCATTGATTATTTTCTATAGAAAAAAGTCTCACATTGACTATTTTTTACAGAAAAAAGTCTCACATTGACTAAATTCTATACAAAAAACTGTCGGATTGATTTTTTTCTATAGAGAAAATTCTAGAATTGACTATTTTTTATAGGAAAAAAGTCTTGCATTGACTACTTTCATTGGAAAAAGTCTAGCATTGACTATTTTCTATAGAAAGAAGTCTTGTATTGACTATTTTCTGTTGAAAAAAGTCTTGCATTGACTATTGTCTACATAAAAAGACTCGCATTGACTATTTTCTGTAGAAAAAAGTCTTGCATTGACTATTTTCTAAAGAAAAAGTTTAGCATTGAATATTGTCTTTATAGAAATGTCTAGAATCAAGTACTTTTCTTAGTAATTGACCTATTTTTTTGAAATAAATACATCATTGCCTTATACTTTTTGAAAAAAAGTTATTGCATTAAGTATTTCTTTAACAAAAAAGGAGCGCATTGACTATTTTCTTTGGAAAAATGCTGGCATTGACTTATTTCTTTGGAAATAATTGCTGCATTGACTTAAAGTTTTAGAAAAAAGTCTGGCATTAACTATTTTCTTTTGAAAAAATTCTGGCATTGACTAATTTCTTAAGAATAAAGACTCGCATTGAGTAGTTTTTCTATAAAAAAAGTCTAGCATTGAGTAGTTTTCTTATAAAAATAACTTGCATTGAGTTATTTGTCTGGAAAAATATTTCGCATTGAGTATTTTCTTCAGAAATAATTGTTGCATTGACTTATTTTTTTAGAAAAAAGTCTAGCATTGGCTATTTTCTTTTGAAAAATTCTGGCATTGACTATTTTCTTAAGAATAAAGACTCGCATTGAGTAGTTTTTGTATAAAAAAGTCTAGCATTGAGTAGTTTTCCTATAAAAATAACTTGCATTGAGTTATTTGTGTGGAGAAAAGTTTCGCATCGAGAATTTTCTTCAGAAATAATTGTTGTATTGACTTAATGTCTTAGAAAAAAGTCTGGCATTAACTATTTTCTTTTGAAAAAATTCTTGCATTGAATAATTTCTTAAGAATAAAGACTCGCATTGAGTAGTTTTTGTATAATAAAGTCTAGCATTGAGTATTTTCTTCAGAAATAATTGTTGTATTGACTTAATTTTTTAGAAAAAAGTCTGGCATTAACTATTTTCTTTTGAAAGAATTCTGACTCGCATTGAGTAGTTTTTGTATAAAAAAGTCTAGCATTGAGTAGTTTTCTTATAAAAATGACTTGCATTGTGTTATTTGTTTGGAGAAATGTTTCGCATTGAGTATTTTCTTCAGAAATAATTGTTGTATTGTCTTAATTTTTTTAGAAAAAAGTCTAGCATTGGCTATTTTCTTTTGAAAAATTCTGGCATTGACTATTTTCTTAAGAATAAAGACTCGCATTGAGTAGTTTTTGTATAAAAAAGTCTAGCATTGAGTAGTTTTCTTATAAAAATGACTTGCATTGTGTTATTTGTTTGGAGAAATGTTTCGCATTGAGTATTTTCTTCAGAAATAATTATTGTATTGACTTAATTTTTTAGAAAAAAGTCTGGCATTAACTATTTTCTTTTGAAAAAATTGTGGCATTGAATAATTTCTTAAGAATAAAGACTCGCATTGAGTAGTTTTTGTATAAAAAATTCTAGCATTGAGTAGTTTTTGTATAAAAAAGTCTAGCATTGAGTAGTTTTCTTATAAGAATAACTTGCAATGAGTTATTTGTTTGGAAAAATGCTTCGCATTGAGTATTTTCTTCAGAAATAATTGTTGTATTGACTTAATGTTTTAGAAAAAAGTCTGGCCTTAACTATTTTCTTTTGAAAAAATTCTGGCATTGACTATTTTCTTAAGAATAAAGACTCGCATTGAGTAGTTTTTATATAAAAAAGTCTAGCATTGAGTAGTTTTTTTATAAAAATGACTTGCATTGAGTTATTTGTCTGGAGAAAAGTTTCGCATTGAGTATTTTCTTCAGAAATAATTGTTGCATTGACTTAATTTTTTAGCAAAAAGGCTGGCATTGGTTATTTTCTTTTAAAAATGTATGGCATTGACTACTTTCTTAAGAATAAAGACTAGCTTTGAGTAGTTTTTGTATAAAAAAGTCTAGCATTGAGTATTTTTTTTATAAAAGTGACTTGCATTGAGTTATTTGTTTGGAAATAATTTTTGCATTGACTTAATTTTTAAGCAAAAAGGCTGGCATTGGTTATTTTCTTTTGAAAAATGTATGGCATTGACTACTTTCTTAAGAATAAAGACTAGCATTGAGTAGTTTTCATATTAAAAAGTCTAGCATTGAGTAGTTTTTTTAGAAAAATGTCTTGCATTGAGTTATTTGTTTAAAGAAATGTTTTGCCTTGTTTATTTTCCTCCGACAAGGTCTGCATTGAATATTTTCTTTGGTTAAATGTTTTTTAATGATTATTTTCTAAGGGAAAAAGTTTGGCATTGACTAAAAAGTTTACCACTTACTATATTTATTTTCTTTACCTTTTTAAAGTTGTTAGTTTTAATATTAACATTTTCAAATAATTCAGACAATTATTATATTCTTGCAATTCTAGAACTCTGTGATGCTGCTTTAAAAATTCAAGCCACCTTCCGTGGCCATTTATCACGTAAACTGGTGACCAAGGAGACACCCGAAGATGTTGATATACAAGAAATCACCAAAAAGGTGGCCGAGGAATTGGATATAGATTTAAGTGATCCCGAGCTAAATAAAGCGGCTACCAAGATACAGGCCTCATTCCGGGGACATAAAACCCGTAAAGATCAACAACCAGTTGAATAAAAAACAAATAATTTTTGAATATTGATTGAACACACACACACACTTACACATACACATACACAAATATTTTATTTTTAAAACAAATTTTTTGGGGATTAAAATGAAGCAGAAGAAGAAGAAGAAGGAAGTAAGTAAAACTTTTAAAATTTAGCAATTGTCTTAAAAAAAACAAAAACAAAAGAAAACAATTTAAATTTAAGATTTAAAGCATAAAAAAAAGAAGTCCATTAAGAAAAAGTTTGAAACAAATTAGACAAAGTTGCATAATTCTAAAAACAAAGAATTATAATTAATTGTTAATTTTAAGTTTTATTAAATATATAATTTTTTTAAGCAAATTTAATTAACAACAAGAAAAAAAAAACAAAAAAAAAATGTATTAAGTTTTTATGTTGGCTTTTATAGGAGTTTAAAGTATACAACTCTCATGTTAGATTCAAAACAGCTTTAAATATTAAAAAAAAAAATAAAAACAAAACAAAAACAACAATAATTTATTCAATTTATTAAAAACAATTATATATTTAACATAAAAAAAAAACATAAGAAGAGCTTGAGTAATAAAAGAAATTAAAAACAAAACTAAAAACAAATCATTCCAATATGAGACAGTTTTACAAAAACAATTATTAACAAAAATCAACACAATTATTTATTAGCAACTATTCAAACTCTTAACTTAAACTAAAACCTTCGAAAACAAAAAAATTGCCAAACTTTTATTAAAGATTTATTTTTATTTTGAAAGCTTTTTTTTTAAATTTTGTTTAAAATTAATTAAAATCTTTCTTTTACAAATTTAAAACAAAAACAACTACTTACAACTATGCACTTTTGAAATCTAAAAGAAAAAACAAACTAAAAATTTCAAATCCCTTAAAAAAAACAACAACAAATTTGCACTTAAAAAAGAAAAGTGAAATTAAAGAACAAAAAACTTAAAAAAGATTTTATTTTATGAGAATTTCAAAAAAAATCTATTAAACAACAAATAGTGAAAAAAAAACAAATTGCAAAATATTGTTAAATTTAAGCACTTCAGTTTAAAAACAAACCAACAAAATTGTTATTTAATAAAAATATAAGAAAAATAAAAAGAAACTTTAAAAATTATTTAACTTAAAGCTTAAAATCTAGATTTTATATAAAAATTTTAGCATTCATACAACATTTTCTATAGAAAAAAAGCTTCTCAGTATAATTTTTCTTTAGAAATAAGTCTAGCATTGAGTATTTTCAATAGAAAACTGTTTGGCATTGACTAGTTTCTTTAAAAAAACTACTCGCATTGAGCATTTTCTATAGAAAAAAGTATCGCATTGAGTATTTTCTGTAGAAATAAGTTTAGCATTGACCATTTTCTATAGAAAATAGTCTCGCATTGACTATTTTCTATAGAAAAAAGTCTCGCATTGAATATTTTCTATAGAAAAAAGTCTCGCATTGACTATTTTCTATAGAAGAAAGTCTCGCATTGACTATTTTATATAGAAAAAAGTCTCGCATTGACTATTTTATATAGTAACAAGTCACGCATTGAGTATTTTCCATAGAAAACTGTTTGGAATTGCCTATTTTCTGTAGAAAAATTACTTGCATTGGCCATTTTCTATTGAAAACTGTCTTGCATTGACCATTTTCTATTGACAATTGCCTTGCATTGACCATTTTCTATAGAAATATATCTCGCATTGACACTTTTTTATTGAAAAATGTCTTGCATTGACCATTCTCTATTGACAATTGCCTTGCATTGACCATTTTCTATAGAAATATTACTCGCATTTGCAATTTTTATTGAAAAATGTCTTGCATTGGCCATTTTCTTTAAAGAAAAGTCTTGCATTGATTATTTTCTATTGACAAAAGTCTTTTATAAATCATTTTTTATTGAAAAAAAAAACTTACATTGACTTACTTCTATAGCAAATAATCTTGCATTGAGTAATTTATATTGAGAAAAGGTTGCATTGACCATTTTATATTGGAAAAAGTCTTGCATTGACTATTTTTTTATTGAAAAAAGACTTACATTGAATTATTTCTATAAAATTAATCTCGCATTGGCTAATTTATGTCATTTTCAATAGAGAAATGTTTTGCATTGGACAGTTTTCATAGAAAAACATCTTGCATTGATCATTTTCTATTGAAAACAGTCTTGCATTGACCAATTTGCATTGACTTATTCCTATAAAAATAATCACGCATTGTCTAATTTATGCAATTTTCTATAGCGGAATGTTTTGCATTGGACAGTTTTCATTGCATTGGGCATTTTCTTTTGCAAAGTGTGTTGTATTATCCATTTTATATAGAAAAAAGTTTTGCATTGACTTTTTTTCTTTAAAAAATGTCTTGCATTGACCATTTTCCATAGGAACTTGTTTTGCATTAGCTTGTTTTCTTAGAAAAAGTCTCGCATTGACTATTTTTCTTTGAAAAATGTCTGGCATTGGTCTTTTTTATTGAATAAAAACTTGCATTGACTTGTTTCTATAGAAAATAATCTAGCATTGTCTATTTTTTGTCCTGCATTGACCATTTTCCACAGAAAAGGTCTTGCATTGGTCTTTTTTTATTGAAAAAATACTTGCATTGACTTATTTCTATAGAAAATAGTCAAGCATTGACTATTTTTTGTCCTGCATTGACCATTTTCTATAGAAAAATATCTTGCATTGATCATTTTTTATTGAAAAAAGACTTGCATTGACTTGTTTCTATAGAAAATAATCTAGCATTGATTATTTTTGTCTAGCATTGACCATTTTCCATAGAAAAAGATCTTGCATTGAATCGTTTCTATAGAAAATAATCTAGCATTGACTATTTTTGTCTAGCATTGACCATTTACCATAGGAAAAAAACTTGCATTGACTCTTTTCTATAGAAAAAGATCATGCATTAACCATTTTCTATTCATTGCTTTTCCTAAAGTTTAAATAAAAACTAGATTTTCGCTAATAAGCTTAATTATTTTATAATATTTTTATATAATTATTATTTTTATCTGTCATTAATTTCTTAATTACAATGTCCTTCTCACTTTACTTTTATTTCGATCAAACTTTTCTTTGAAATTCCATCTATAGCTCTTCTTATCTCTTTCTCCCTCTCTTTCCTCTTTGTTTCAAGCTCTATTTAATCTTTCGTTTACCTTCTTCTCCTTTCAATCATTATTGTTTCTTCCTAGTGTTACTTTTTAGCATCTTAAACTTATAAAAAAAAATCTACTACAATTGATCTTTAAGAAAAAGAAGTAAACAAAACAATTTAATTAATTATTAAAATTAAAACAAAATACTAATTAAAAAAATTAAAAACAAAAAAAGAATTTGCAAACAAGAAAGGCAAACAAACATTTAAACAAAAAAATAATATTGTCAATCTTAAAAATTATTAATAAAAAAATGAACAACAAAACATGAAAAACAAAACTACACTTTTTGAGTAAAATAAAACATGAATAAATAAAGAAAAACTTTTCCCAAAAACAAAAAAAAATCAAAGATGTTTTAATAAAGAATAAGAAGGTTAAAATGGAAAGTAAGAAAACAATTAAAAAATTAAATTTTTAAAGGGAAAGTGATTCCTATAGAATATTTTGCTTAAAACCCTGAAACAAAATCCTTTATTTTCATCCTTCCATTCAACTACTAACACACGTTACTTCATTACTTAGACACTTTTTATTTATGACAATCAATTGTGTATTACATTTATTTATCAATTTCTTAACTACATTATAATCTTAAGTTTAAAAATCCTGCGATAAAAGGTGACCAAAATTAGCGGGCATCAAACACAACCACTGCAAGGAAAAGATAAAAAAAATATTTTAAAATAATGTTTAGACTCGAGTTACGGACGAAATTGTTGTATATTGTCCTTTTGACTTTTAAATTTAATTTTTTCTGAAGACTTACATCTCTTGGTACGTTTCTTGTACATAATACGATAGCCACACTCACGACAACGTATGGGATCACGGGGACGCATTTCATTTTCATGATGACATTCTGAAAAATAAAGAAAAGTTTTATTATTAATGCAAAACACTTTACTAAATGAATCAGGAGTTCAGTTCTATTTCAAATTTAGTTTAATTCTAGTTCAGTTCTATTTCAGTTCCAGATCATTGCTATTTAACTTCTATTACATTTCTAGTTTAGTTCTAGTTGAGTTCAAGTTTATTGCTAGTTCAGTCCTAGACTAATGTTATACCTGTGTTCTAGAACAGTTCTAGTTCAGTTCTTGATCAATGCTAGTTCAATTCTAGTTCAGTCCCACTTCTGTTCTAGATCAGTTTTAGTTCAGTGCTGGTTTAGTTCTAGTTTAGACCAGTTCTGTTCTAGTTATAGTACTGATTTAAACATTTGTTCAAAGAGAAGATAAATAGATAATTCCTTAACTCATAGCACACAGATTCTTTGCCTTTACCAACTACCACATGCAAATTTGACTTGCTAGCTAAACTTTATTAATAATTCTTACTATTTCCAACAAAAATCAATTATAATTCCCAGAAGTGTTATAAATTTCTTAAATATTTAAGAAAACTTAAAAAATTAACATATTTTAACAAAATTGCAAAGCTAACACGTTTTTTTTTCTAATAACTCCACTGTCCGGACAAGCTCACACAATTTTCTTTATATCCCCAGCACTTACCACCACAAATATAAGTCATAGCGGTCTTAAGAACTGTGTCCTTGGTGCTGGTCTCAGACATTTTTAATTATTTTCTTTAAATTTTTCAAAAAATTAAAATTTTCTTGACAATTTCAATAAAACCACAAGAATTTCACCAAACAATGCTTTTTCTACAAATTGTTATGACAGTTCTGTCAAATCCATGTAAACAGTGTTGTTAAGTGTAAGACAAAATGACAAATATCAAATAAAAACCATTTTACAACACTTAAAACAATCTAGTTTATACAGTAGTTGTAATATAACGGCATTTTTTTTCTGCAGTGAAGAAACAGACAAGTGTAAAGAAATTTTAAGTTTTTTATAAGTTAAAACGAAATTAATAAAATAATTTTAGTGAAAATTAGTTAAAGAAGTGTTAAGTGTTAGATAAATATCAAAAAATAAGTTATTTGCTAGAAAATGAAGAAAAAAAGCAAATAGCAAAATGGCCTGTTGAAATATATGTGGTTATGAATGAGTGCAAGCATAAACTTGCACAGGAAAGCGACAGAAATCTGTACAAGTTTTTTCAAATCTGATAGCCACAGCAACAGCTGTGTAAGAAAGCGTCGTATTAATAAAGTGCTTCTCAAAGTGTTATTTTTATAATAGTGTTTTGTTTATTAAATTAAATAAAATAGTGAATGAAAGTGAAAAATCAAGAAAAATGTGTAATACAGCAGCTAATAAAAAGCAAATGCATCCACGTAATATTTTTCGCCAGCCACCGGATTACACCGAATTGGTCATCAAATATCCAGAATTTCGTCGGGTTTGCAA